TGCCCTAACAAATGGCTCCATGTGCTACCTGTGGCAGGCGTGCCACAGGTTCACCATCATGCTTCTAATTTAAACAGCAGGAGTGGCAAAGTGGTTAGAATGCAGAAGTGCAGGCTACTTCTGTTGATCACCGGGCCCCAGCAGTTTGGCAGTTCGGGTCTCACTAGGCTCAAGGTTGACAGCCTTCCATCCTTCCGTGGTCACTAAAATGAGGACCCAGATTGTTGGGGGCAATATGCTGACTTTGTAAACTGCTTAGAGAGGGCTGTGAAGCACTGTGAAGCGGTATATAAGTCTAAGTGCTAATCTACCAGAACCCTATCTAGTCATCTTTTAATATTATCCAAATTAACTACCATAACACAACTACTGAGAGTGAATTCCTCACTGTCTATTGCAGTGATGGCAAATCTTTTAGACACGGAGTGTCCAAACTGCATGCTCACACATGTTCAAACTGAAAGGTGTATGCATGTGCATGAACGCATGAACATGCGCGCATGCACAGTCATGCATGCACGTGCAGCAGAGACCCAAAGAACAGCTGGCTGGTGGGAGGCAAGGTATCCCAACACTGGAAGCAGGGCAAGAGGTAAGATATTTTTCTTTCGTGAGCTTCTGTTTTGTCATTTGTAGGGAAACAGATGCTCACGAAAGAAACACCACGAAGATCTCACCTGGGGTGACAGAGCACATGCCAGCAGAGAGGGCTCTGCATGCCACCTCTGGCACACATGTCATAGGTTCATCATCATGGGTTTATTGCATGAACAAGTTCTACCTCGTATTGGCCCTGAATACTCCTACAATTTTAGTTTAAATGACCTCAGGTTTTAGCTGTACTGTTTGAGAGAATGAGGAAAAAGTCTGCTATCTCAACCGTACCTAATTTTAAATACTTTTATCATGCTGTCCTTTACTTCCGTTTGTTCCAGGTAGAAGAGATCCAATTTTATAAATGGAGGTGGGAAACAATTACTCATTATTCATGTCATTCATTAGTCAAGCACAAGGCCATTAAATTTCCCTGTGCACACTCTATTATTCCTTGTGTAATTACATTGAAATAATTTTTGCTCTTATAGGCTCTGTGTAGAGGAGAAAGCAGCTTTGGCTTTTTCCAACTCCTGAAAGATTTTGTGTCTGACATTGACATTTATCCTTCTTGTCGTGGAATCTTCCAACACGGGCCAATGTCTGAATTACACGTTAGATGAGATTTAAAGTGTATTTGAATAAGTTTTACCCAACTAATAAAATGTTATTTTGCAGATTATACGAAGATACAGTGATTTTGATTTGCTGAATAACACTTTGCAGGTAAATTAGTTTTCTTTTTATGTAAAACTGTTTTAAAATTTTTGATTTGTATATGGTAGTTATATCAGTTTTGTCTTCACTCAGATGTTTTTACATTAATTTGTGATTAAATTTTCTGATAGAAATCTGTATTTTAAATAAGTAAACATGCATACCTTTTAAATACCTATTTCGAAATTATCTCAAAACAGATATATAATCAGGATTAACTGTTGAAGAGACAAGAACAGTTTTGAGAAAATTGAAAACACAATGTGAAATCTAGCAGCTAGCTGAGTGTTAGTTAAGTGATTAAGCCAGGCAATAGATATTAGAACAATCTATAAATAATTACGGAAGAGTAAAATCAGAACGTGGGAAAGTTGCAAGTGTTGGCACTCAGTCATTTAACTTAAAGGCTCCTCTCGTTCACTGCTACAAAAGCAAAAGTCATATTGATCTTTTAATATGAAGTACTGACATGCAGTGTAGAGAACCATTTTATCAATTTTGAAAGGCCTTTCTGAATGGTGCTATTTATTGTGCAGTGAAATAGTGTCCTTTTGCGTTTTAAACACTGCAGTAATTGTGTGTTTTTACTTTCCAGGACACTGGTTTCTTTTAGTGTGTGTGGGAAAATAACAGAGAGAGACTGTATATTAAAGTGTCTAGTGGTTTGCAGGCAGAAGAAGGAAGTTGGTAGCTACATTATAGTCATTTTCAACAATTCCCTTGCTGCTACTCGTGCTTTGTCCGATACTAATAGCGGAAGAGTTGTGTTAATGTGGTTTCATTCACTGATCCTGCTATACATACTAGTGGAAATGCACATTACTAGTCTGTGCCCATTCTCAATGTGTGCTGGACTGAAAAAATGTTGAATTTCAAAGAAGATATATTTTTGAGGTCTAATTTGTGAAGCATCAAAGAACTGTATTGATGGACAGTATAAGAAATATATCGCAAATATAAAAGTGAAAGATTACATATAAGCCATTTTATATTGTTATGGTGGGAATCTTGAGAGACCATTAGATAATGGAGGCTTTCATCTCCATGCATGTCCTTTCATAGTGGTGGCAAAAAGCTCATTTATTGTTGCTTACGCTATTCTGAAAGTAATGGCTGTCAAGTAACAAGATAAATCTACAGCACTAGAAGATTAATATAATTTACGTCACTTCTGGAACTGACTGACTGACTTAAATTCATTGTTTCCATGGGAAGGTGAAAATTTTAACAAATGAGAATATATTTTTTATTCCGCCATCTTCCTCTTGAGTTATAATCAATGAGCAAGAAACTAGATGTGCCATTTTAGAAATCAATATTTTTTGTGCATGGGCATCAGTAAACAATTTATTTTAATATAATTTCCTCCCACAGAGTACAGTTTGTTTTTTAGATTGTTCCTAAGTTCAAGGATAATTATGCTCTTTCACAATAGTACTGCAATTGCATGTCCGGCAGGGTAATTATTGCTACACCACTTTTTTGCGTAAAGGTTGCATAACATACAGCGGACATGATAGCATGGACTTAATACATTAACAGATTCTCCTGTGGGATGTGTAGTGATGGCTCTGAATCCTGTCTCTGTAATACATCCCTGCTTTTTCTGACTAATACAGGCATCCTGGAAGTTAATGATTCCAGCTTTGTTCAGACTTAGATAAATAGAACAGAAATATAAAGCATTTCCTCAGCTAGCTTCAGCAGAATTTCTTGTTATTTCAAAACTGTTGAAAGGCATTAATCAAATGTATGATTTCCTTTCCTGAGAATGAATGAACTCAGTGAGAGTTTCTGGAAAAAAAAAACATTCCTCAGATAAAGGGAAGAAACAGTTTTGCTGTACTCACAAAAGCTCTGAACTTTCCTTCCTGTTTCTGTTCGAACTGATAATCTGGGTTTGTTTTTACCCTTTTTCTTTTATTTTTTTTATTTTTTCAAAAGAAATTGCTCTTTCTGAAATTAATTAAGTGTTTTCCTTGACCCCAAAACACCCAAATCCCCCCTCCAATCTTTTGTATCTTGAGGATACTTTTTTTACATCAATATCAAAAAACTTCCATCCCCTCATAAATATTGTGTGTTATGTGCTAGCCGTGATTCTCCCCATATATATTCACAATGAATGACTTAAGTATTAAGTAGTTTTTAAAATGTACATTTATTAAAAATTTGGTGAAATGTAACAACTAAAATATAAATAAACCAAAACAGTACACTATTAAATAAATAAAAAAGGACCGTTTCATTTCTGTTAGCCTGGAACTAATTAATATAGAGCCAGTTCTTTAGTGTATTATTATAGTTAGACTGTAAAATCATTGCTCCATCTTTTCATTTTTAATATATCTATACATTTCCAAAATTGATAAGGAGCACATCTTTTGAATCTATTCTGTAACATCCGGATTGTAAATTTCTTCTCTACAAAATTATTCCCTTTGCCAAACCTCAGGCTTTTAAAGAGTTATTTCAAATGTTTAATTTAATTCAGTAATCACAGCTACAGCTTTAACTACCATGATGTTCTCTAAATTATGTTAATAATGACTCAAAAAAATGAGCTAAAAAGCCAGATGTTAGCAATAATAGAAGTACGTCACAATGTAAATCATTTTTCCTAGAACTAGGAGTTCTAAGATCTTTAAATGTTTCCTCTTAATATGAAAGAATGAGTCAAACTCTGACAGGGAAATACTTTTGAAAGTTTTCCTATAGTTTCTGCTAAAGAAATAGAGAATGCTGACATGCACAGTCTTTTTTTTTTTTTAAAAAAAAAACAAGACTTTGACCAAAAGTTGCCATACTGCTTCATTTGCATTACATGATGTACACTATTTCCCCGAAAATAAAACCTCCCAGGATAATAAGCCCAATCAGGCTTTTGAGTGCATGTGTTAAAAACCTCCCCCCAAAATAAGCCCTCCCCAAAAATATTGCAATACAACAGCAGCCATGAGGTGACCACACTTGCTGCCTCCTGCACCTCAAAAACAATGACCTCCCCGAAAATAAGGCCGGGGGCTTAATTTGGGAGTCAAAAGCGGAAACACAGTAGTTTGTTCTGGTGACATAGAACCATCAGAGCATATTTAGGAATGTAACCTTGCTTTGTTACTATAACTGCCATTTTATTGCTAATGAATTAATATAAAGTTTTAATCAGAAGCCTTTATTCTTTGTGAGGCAAGTTTGAATCTTTGACCCTCTCATATTATTGAAATACAATTTGCAGCATCCTTCACTATTGCTAAGATGGTTAGACCTGTTGAAAGTTACAGATAGTGCTTGATTTACAACCACAATTGAGACCCAAATTTCTGTTGCTAAGCGAGATAAGATGTTAAGTGAATTTTGCCTCATTTTATGACTTTTCTTGCCACAATTGTTAAGCGAATCATTGTACTTGTTAGGCTAGTAACACGTTGTTAAACTAATTGCCTTCTCCACTGACTTTGTCAGAATGTTGCAAAAGGTGATTATATGACCTGCAGCCATCATAAATACAAACCAGTTGCAATCATTCAAATGTTGATCATGTGACCATGGGGATGCTGCAATGGTCATAAGTGTGATAAACGGCCATAAGTCACTTTTTTTCAATGCCATTGTAACTTTGAACGGGTACTAAACCATAAGTTAAGAACTATCAATATAGCTTCTTATAGAAACCAACATCCTTGGTAATCACGATGAGATGTTTGAAGCCATGATTTTCTGTAAGTTTGGTTCATTGAATGAGTCACAGAGGTCTAATTTACATTTAAGCTAGAAACCATCAGAAAGACTATGTTAGTGTATTGCAGTAAACAACCCATTATATGGTTTTTGTAGTGTATGAACCCAGTCAACACTTTTGTAAGATGGGGATATTGATTGCATTTTTTATTGCAGATGTAATGAACATATTTTGTACTAGTAATTTTCACTAGGCCTGTTCTTCTTTTTAAGATTTCTGCTCTTAGCCTACCTCTTCCTCCCAAAAAATTGATTGGAAATATGGACCGTGAATTCATTGCTGAAAGACAGAAGGGCCTTCAGAACTATCTCAATGTGATTACTTCGAATCATATCCTATCCAACTGTGAACTAGTAAAGAAATTTTTGGATCCAAACAGCTATTCTATTAATTACACTGGTAAGGAGACAATTTTGAAAAAATTTTCATTGAAAAATCAAATATTTCAAATAGCCAGTGCAGATTTCACATATTTCCTCTCTTTTTCTGCAAAAGAATGCATGACTTTAAGCAGTAGTTGTCTGCACATCTGAAACTAATGAACTGAAAATATGCCAGTTATGTCAGTTCATGGAATTGCCAGCACTATAGACGTGATGTCCTTGTTGGTCTATTTTATTAAAGCATTTCACAGCTCAAGGATTTCTCCCCCACTGAGCATTTCTTTCATGTTCAAAGATGAAACACCTGAACACAGTAGGTTGACCTGAGAATGGAATGCTGCCCGTAGCTTTTGAATTTCCTGGACTCCCTTGTGATTCTGGCTTCAGTGTTTATCCATGGAATGTTATCATTACTGAACTCCATGCTGGCAAATCATACTAAAGGAAATTTAGTGAATAGCATATATTCCAGGCAGATGAGACGTTATCCTCGCATTTGATTTTAACATGTCCTTGTATTCAAAAAATAATAATTGGAAACTTGCTGTATCTCACATAGGATTTTCTGTGCCTGGATTCTGTATATCTGTAAATATGTCTTTCAATTTACTTACTTCCCTCTCACTTCTTAGCATGGATGGCTGAGGGGTTATGTACCTATTAATTCACTGAGCCAGCATGATAGAAAATACGTGTTGCCTTACAGAAATACAAGAAATATAAGAATATAAGAAATATATAAATATTTTCTCAAGATCTCATACATACCTATGTACAAAATCCAGGGGTTTTTTGGCCACACAAATTATACATGTATTTTGTATTGATGAAGGTGGAAAAAATATGTCATGATGCCTTCATATTGTTTGAAAATTCCTCCCATATCATCTTGTTTGTAGATATACTTTCCAATTTTAGTTTAACCTTTATCAGCCAACCTGAAGATAACTTACTGTTGAATGTTGACACACAGATACAATTTTAAAGTTGGAATTAACTTTACTGTAGACATTTGTCAATATTGATACATCTTCGCAATCCCTCTCTCTGCAGAAATTGCCTTACAGCATGTTTCAATGTTTTTTCGGTCGGAACCAAAGTGGGAAGTGGTAGAACCGTTAAAAGATATTGGTAAGAACATTAGTTTTATTAGACATATAACATTCGTTATATATCACAGGCATCAGAATATGTTGTTGCTCTGTCCATCTCTCTATTGTGTTTTGTGTTGTAAGATAGATTGTTTTGTAAGCAAACATAGGGAGCAAACTTTGATGCAGTTCCTGATCGTCAGAATCAAGATTCTGCTGTCATTCTATTTAACTCATAGATTCCTTCTTTGTGGGCTCCATTCCACCTCTACGCTTCCGCAGGGGACAAAGGATTTAAATCCCCTAATTATCTTTCCTTCCTATTCCCACCAAGCAGAGTCCTGATCTATAAAGCAAATATTTACAAATTGCTGTGTTTTTTGCTTCTTGCTTGGACCTTAAGTCAAAGGGTCTTTCCGTTCTTAAAATCCTAGTAATTGGAAATGCCAAGTGTTGACTGGATCCTTATCACATACTATGTTACTGAATGTTAAGCTTTGCACCATATTTTAAAACAGCAGTTCTCCTTCTTATCTTGGAATGTGCCTTATTGAATTGTACAATCAGTAAAAAATTAATGTTTTTTTTTAATGCTACTACAGGTAGTCCTCAACTTACAACAGTTCATTTAGTGATCATTCAAAGTTACAGCTGCACTGGAAAAAGTGACTTATGACTGTTTTTCACACTTACGATCATTGCAGCATCCCATGGTCACATTATCAAAATCCAGATGCTTGGCAACTGACTCATATTTATGACGGTTGCAGTGTCCCGGTGTCACGTGATCACCTTTTGCAATCTTCTTACAAGCAAAGTCAACAGGGAACCCAGATTCACTTAACAACCGTGTTACAAACTTAATACCTGCAGTGATTCACTTAACAACTGTAGCAAGAAAAGTTGCAAAATGGGACAAAGTTCACTTAACAACTGTCTCATTTAGCAACAGAAAGTTTAGACTCAATTGTGTTCGTAAGTCGAGGACTACCTATATTGTAGAATACCTCTCTCTTTGGCTCTCCCTCTGAGCCTCCCCTCTCCCTCTGTATATTTCTCTCTCTCTCTTTTTTATATGCGCCCCCCCCCACCCACGCGAATCTCACAAGAGCATTACATTGCATGATGTACAGCGGTTACAACTCACTTTAACTTATTTTGATGAATTATATGTTTTTTTCAGGCTGGAGGATACGAAAGAAGTATTTCTTAATGAAGATTAAGAATCAACCAAAGGAGCGACTAGTGCTAAGTTGGGTTAGTTTGTTTTTTGTGTATGGGGGGGGGGCATTATCTCTTACCAAAATTGCAACATTGATTTTTGCTTTATGTGCTAACTAATATTTAAAGAAAACTGAGCACTGTCTCTAAAGTTAAGCAACTACTATGCTATTATACAGAGTTTAGTGAGGACCTTAGGGAAAATATGGAATAGTAGTTGTAAAGCCACTTAGAGAACAATTGCATAGTCTAAAGAGCCAAGCAAACATGAGAAAGAAATAAAAATAGATTCATTTTTGTTTTCTTTAGTATAAGATAGAAGAGAAACTAGGACAGGCTTTCAAGAGTCTATTATTATATCTTACAACAATAAAATAGCACTCTTGGTACCCCTGCAAGGTCTGTTCCTTGACTTATCTTGAAGAGTTGATTTTTGTAAGAAAATATTAATCGGCAGAGAGACTAGACAAGATATTCAGTCAGTTTATAATTTGTACAGTCCTGATAATATAATTTGTGATTTGTTAAATCAATATTATACAAAAACTGGAGTACTAGATAATCACTTGTTTACTGTAAAGACAAAAAAACCCTGCAACTTGGCAAATAGAAAGAGACCATCTTGTGTTGATTGGCAATGATTCATTAGATTTCTGTTGCTAAACTGTGAAAGCAGTTGGAGAAATGGAAAACAAGTGCTAAATAGCAATAGCAA